TGTTCCTAGCAGCGTTTTCCTTCATTTCTGCCTTTACGTGTGGACGGGATTATTTTTTAAAACGGAAACAGAAAATGTTCGTTTTCAAAAATACCCGTGTACGTGTGGATGTAGCCTTAGTAACCCACTAAATAAACAAAGGACCAAACAACAGGAACAAGCTAGCCTGGCCCGAGTTTGACACATGGTTCTACCAACGTGCTCAAACTATCCTCTTACTGAGGAATGGTATTCATTTGGTGGCTGAATTAAAGTTATTTTGGACATTTTTTTCCACTGATGCATTGTTTTTTATTATTGCAGATCAAAATTATGTAGCTTTGTTTTACATATGTACAGAAATACATTATCACTGTAAATACCACTAACAATGGTGCTGTAGACTTTAAGATATCATGTTACTGATATATATTCCGTCTTTAACTATTCTATGATGAAAGTGCTATTTCAAAAAAAAGACATCCAGATATGTTTACATTAAAAAACATATAATGATCTTACCAGAGTTCATTCCTGCTGCCAAAGACAGCTGAACAATAAGCCAAAATCCACTGAGTTTCAACATAGCTGTGCCGCTCTGTGAAGTGCAGCTGAAATGAAGTTCTCTGTGGATTCAGCAGATAGACGAGCTTCAGGTTATATCTCTGTCCACATTTGGTTAGATAGTGATGTAAATGACAAACCTGCATCTATGCAGTTAAACAGTTACTTCACTGTTTAAAGCGTGTGCACCAACATATTCTTTCTGCTCTGACTGTGAATTACTACCATTCATAACTGACTCAATTTCCTAGTGGAATGAAAACTGTGACATTAGTAATAATCATATCCTAAGTGCACTGAACAACAGCCGATGCTAAGAAAATAAGCTGGAGGTGTTCCCGTCCCTTTCTGCTAACCAGCTGGTATTTGTTTATTCAGCTAGAGTCATGTGTTAAGCTGGGGGCGGGGCTCTGTGTCCTTATGAACTATTATGAATTATGATTAATTTCTGTCTCACTTTTATGAGTGATAATTTAATAAAGCAAACAAAAACTTCTCCCTTAACATATTAAGATTCTAACATCCAGTACATTGGGAACATGGTACACTGCAAATATACTGACCTAACAGGAACTGTGGAAACCAGTAAAAAACAATTTCATCCACCTCAGTTCAATTCAGTTTTATTTCTACAGCGCCAAATCACAACAACAGTCGCCTCAAGGCGCTTTATATTGTAAGGTCGACCT